TTGCTAATGGCCTACTCCCATTCATCAACTAGCCATGGTCACTTAGTATCTAATGGGTGTCAAGTTGCATGTTTTGCCCTGCTCAACAACTGAAACTGAAAAGATCCACCTTTTGCATCTCTGGAGACAGAATTTGGTTGAGTAGGAGATTGTAGGCACTTGGGTTTTCTTTTCTGTAAATCTAAGGAAATTTTCCTATCCTCACAGCGTGGCCTCAGAGAGAACCCAGGGCAGGAATGAGGCAGTCAGAGCCCATAAAGTGCCAAGCATTTTTGAGTTTTTCCACTGAAGTTTCCAAATAAAACTGGAGGCTCCCCTCTTTACAGATTCCTATACTGAAATAAAGTAACTCAACAGGAAGAATGTATCTCCCAGCACACACCTACTGTGGATAGGTCAGCATTCTTAGAACATGGTCAGAGGGAAAGGAAAACAACAGCTTTAGGAGGATGAGATTTTTTGATGCCAGCTTCCATAGGGATGCAAGAGCTTTAGTCACCAGGCCCACACAGCTCAAGGTTGATGCCTTTACTGCCAATTGTCCCTTCATTAAACCAGGGGAGGGCCAAGAAGAGCAGGCCCCTAAGTGACATTTGCCAGGGAAAATGAGGTTGGAGTGCCATATTTAAGAATAATTTTTTGACTGACTAGCTTACAAGGCTGGGAAAGTAGAATGGAGGCTGGGACCAGCTGGGCTGTATTCTGAAGAGGCATACATGTCTAACACTGTCAAAGGAAAAAGCTGTGATTCACATGCCAAGTCTAGGTAAAAAATCAGCTCAAATTTATTAGGAGCCAATAGTCTAATTTTTATTTTCAGTTCCTTGATTTCCAAGAGCCTCTGTGTTTAAATGATAATCTCGTTTTGTTTGCAGGACTGGGGATTTAACCTGGTGGTGCTTCACTGGGTAGGAGATTGTAGACACTTGGGTTTTCTTTTGTGTAAATCTAAGTTAGGACATTTTCCTATCCTCACAGTGTGGCCTGAGAGAGAACCCATGGCAGGAATGAGGGTTGGTAATAGCTACATCCTGAGCCCTTTTTTAAATTTTGTGATGGTCTCACTAAGTTATCCAGAAGGGGCTTGAATTTGCTATCTCCTTCCTAAACCTCCTGAGTTGCTAGGATTACAGGTATGTGCCATAGCTTCTGGCTCAGGTAATGGTCTTTTTACTCCACCTCTTCAATGGCTCAGGCCCACCTCCATTCCTGACAAGCATATGGGAAAGACTCTGCTCTACTGCTGACACTCAGAGAAAACCTCCCAAACAAAAGTGTAAGAGTCAGTCAGCATGCCACCACATAGCTCCAGGAGTCCTAACTTTCAGAAAGAACACAGTGAACCTCAAGGAAAAAACAGTGTTGCCTGACTTACTTTTCATTTTATTTATACACATGCAAAATTATGGCAGACTTTTTTTCTTAGCAATGCACTCAGTAATTGTTAAAGCAATTTTGTTGACTAAATGTCTGTTTTAAGTTCTAAAACTCTGAAGATCCATACTTATTCTTTCTCCTACAGAACCGAAAGTTATTGCTAAACTAGTCAAGAATAAGAGCCAGGTGAGGTGACTATAACCCCAGCAATTCAAGTTTTGCAAATTCAAGACTAGCCTAGGTGACTTAGCAAGATCCTGTTGCAATTTTTTTTTTAAGGTGGGGAGGGGAGCTGGGGGTGTACTTCAGTGGTAAGAGGGCCTCTGGGTTCAATCCCCAGTACCTGGGGTGGGTAGGGGAGATGAATGAGAGCCATGATTAGACATCATAGGTCACACAGGCCTCAGACATCCAGAAATTGACAGTCTCCTTCCAGACACATTCTGCTGGGCAAGACCCTTTATTGATTGATTGACTGATTTAGGTACTGGAGATCCTAAGATACTTAATCTCTTGTTTTGTTATGTTTGCAGTACTGGGGATTTAACCCAGTGGTGCTTCATCACCATTGGCACTTAATCACTGAGCTATTACCAACCCTTTTTATTTTTAATTTTGAGACAGAGTCTTGCTAAATTGCTGAGGCTAGTCTCAAACTTGGGATTCTCCTGTCTTACCCTTGTAAGATACTGGGATTACAGACATGCACCATTGCACCCAGTTAGCAGAAACCATTTTGAACTGGAGAAGTAACACAAGTCACCTGACAGAGTGATAGAAAATTCAAGACGGGACAGTATGCATTTACTACAGATACCAAAGCATCAGAGCACAGGCAATGATTCCTCCCAGTGCCCACAGATAGGTAAGCCGCTGTTCCAAGTGGATCTTGGAAAAGTTCAGAGAGAATCCTTACCGCTGATAGGGTAGAAGAATGATTGGGTGACTCTAAGGAATATTTCTGAAAGCAATTTTGTAGATATAGCTTGAATAACATGAGAGAGCATCACTGTTAGCTGAACATCTCAACTGTATAAGTTAGTTCTTCTAAAGTCTGAGACGTGTCTTTAACAGAAAACATCCTCTTAGTCATTACTTGAAGGTTTATACTTTACCGTGTCCCTTCATATCATTTTATGTATTCTCATCCCAACTCTTGGGCAGAACTGTATATGTAAAGGTCAGAATCTTGCAGCTTGCATGTGGTATGAGCTCCTATTTCAAAGCCAATCATGGGCCACTTTATCTACACAAGGAATGCTACAACACAAAAATTTAAATTTCTTTGCTATTTTCTTTTACAGAAATACATGAAGAATGAAAATTTAAAATATTCACTTTATACATGAGGTTACTACCAATTGTAAAAGTAAGATGAGACCAGGTACAGGGGCATACACCTGTAATCCCAGCACCTGGGGGTGCTGACACAAGAGGATTGAAAGTTCAAGGCCAGCCTCAGCAACTTAAGGCCCTAAGAAACTTAGTGAGACCCTGTCTCAAAATAAAAAAGTAAATTTAAAAAAGGGATGGGGATGTGGCTTAGTGGTAAAGCACCTCTGGGTTCAATCCCCAGTACCAAAATAAGTAAATAAATAAAAAGTAAGATGAGAGGTCAGGCTCAGTGGCTCACACCTCCAGCAACTGGACCATATGTTAGAGGCCAGCTTCAGCAACTTAGCAAGACCCTATGTCAAAATAAAGGAGGCTGGGCGGGGGGTGTTGTGGCTCAGTGGTAGAGCATTTGCCTCACTCACATGAGGCTCTGGGTTCGATTCTTAGCACCACATAAAAATAAATAAATAAAAATATTGTGTCCATCTACAACTAAAAAAATGTTTTTTAAAAATTTTAAGGGCTGGGATTGTGGCTCAGCGGTAGAGTGCTCACCTCCCACATGTGAGACCCTGGGTTCGATCCTCAGCACCACATAAAAATAAATAAGTGAAGTAAAAATATTGTGTCCAACTACAATTAAAAAATAAATATTTTTTTTTAAAATTTTAAGTAAAATAAAAAGGGCTAGGGATATAGCTCAGGGTTCAATGTCCCTGGGGTTCAGTCCCCAGTACTACAAATAAATAAATAAATAGGTAGATTTATAGATAAATAATACACTTTAGTTAACTAGAATGTAGAATTCTTTAAAAATAAACTGAAAGATAGGGTTGGCTGGGGGTATAACTCAGTGGTAGGGTACTTGCCTCATATGACCCAGGCCTCTGGGTTCAATTTCCAACACCAAAAACTAAATAAACAATCAAACTGAACGAGATTGGGGAAAATCAACTTTTTATGCAAGGGAAGGCTATTTCATTGGAACTTACATATAGAAAATAAAATCCAAGGGCTGGAATGTAGCTTAATTGGTAGAGTACTTATTGCTTTACATGGCCAAGGCTCTGGGTTCAATCTCCAGCACAAAAAAAAAGAAAAATCCATGAGAAATCTATGGGAATTTCATTTTAAAAGTGAATAATCACACAGATGTTTTCCAATTCTGTAATGTAATTTTTTAAATCTCACACAAAGTTGTACAAATAATCAGAATGGAAAAAATCTAGGCTGCATTTGAGGGGAAAAAAGACCAAGTCAAGGAGCACTGTGCTTGGCCTTCAAACTTATTCTCCTGATCCTTGTCATGCTTCTCTGTAGTAGATATTTCTGTAATCTCCATTATTCAAGCAAGTTTAAGTAAGGAAAGAAGTAGCTTGTCCAAAGTTACAGATCAGAGAGCCTGACTTAACTCAGTCCATCTCATGATCATTAGGGAGACTAGAAATGGGAGCTGCACAGAGATGTGGCCCATATAAGGGAAGATGCTTGGCCTTCATCCAAAAGTATAACTTCTCTGCCCACAGACACCAGCTCTACTTTATTTATTTGCCAGCTCTACCTGTTTTCACCAATTAAGTTAAGGCAGGTTTCATAACTATTGCCAGTGCCTATCAATGATGAGTGACTCTGTGTTAGACTTACTTTGCTACCCTTAAATGAAGCCCCAATCCCACTATGATTTGAGGTACATATATAATAGTGGGAACTAAATGAAAGGAACAGAAAGAGGGTTCAAAACAGGTACATTAATTAAAGGAATATTAATACCAAAATTTCAAAGCAGAGCAGATTTATACTGTATTTCTTGAGACTGTGCAAGACAGTTCCTCAAGTCTAGAAGACCCAAGTTTTACCCAGCAGCTTGGGAGACCTGGACAATCTACAAATCATCTGGCTGGCTGGACAAAGCCAGAGAATCTCCTATGAGTGAATTTTACTTGTTTTTGGGGTTTTTGTTTTTGTTTTTTGTCTGCAGTGCTGGGAATGAAACCTAAGGCCCCAAGAATGCTAGATAAGCACTCTACCACTGAGCTACACCCCTGGCCCTCAATGAATTTTAAAATAAGGCCAGATGCTGTTTTTTGTTTGTTTGTTTGTTTGTTTTTTGTACTAGGTATTGAACTCACAGGTGCTTTACCACTGAGCTAAATCCCTGGCCCTTTTTATTTTGAGGGTCCCACTAAGTTGCTTAGGGCCTTGCTAAGTCGCTGAAGCCGGCCTCGAATTTGTGATGTTCCTGCGTCAGCCTCCCCAGCCACTAGGATTATAGGTGCACATCACGGCAGTGGGCAGCCAGATACTTTATTGTAAACTGCCTCTTCCCATGAGCTAGCTAGCTCATGAGTACCTTAGCCCACAATGTGATTCTCATTTTCTACACAAAGATAGGTATATAATGACAGTGAAGAATAGTATGGTATAAATAAGGAATTTCATGTAGAAATAAGGAAATAAAAGATCTGATTTGCCTTAGTCAGAATAAAAGGCAAAAAAAAAAAAAAAAAAAAAAAAAAACCAGAATCACACTTACAGGTATACTGTTGAAAATCCAAACTATAAAATTCATTACCTGCCACTATTACAACATTTACAAAAAAAGGACATCTTGAACAAAGGCTTATATGATGTTGACGAAATCATCTTGGAGTGCATGATTTATAAATACATAAATATCCATGCATACTTTTACAGTGGTAGCTACTGGAAGAATAATGACTTCTATAAGCCAATCTAGACAGATTCCTTTTTCATTCCAACTGCCTCTAACCAGGAGTCTAGAGCTGCTGTGGTCACTGTCACATTCATTCCAGCCTCCTCTCTAAGCCTGTGGCCCATGATGAAAATGTGATACATCTTCTCCTTAGCTTTGATGCTGAGAGGGAAAAAAAGAAAAGGTTATATAGCCATGCAGTCCAGTGAATTGAATTCATCTTCATAAATTAAAATATAGCAGTGATATAATATTTATGTACTATCCAGATGGTAAGTCTACTCAGAAATTATTAATATTTTACTACATACAGAAAATTTAGCAAAACATTGACCACATCATCCATTTCGAAGCCAGAATCTAATTTTCTTGTCTTGTCTCTTGCAATCTATAAATGTTCACAATTTAAAGCGGTAACGGAAATACTTGAAATGCACCTTCATGCTCTCCAGTGAAGGGTTCTAAAAGCAGAATCACACAAACACTTTTTGGTCTAAATTAAAAGTAGTCAGATTCAGGTAGTAATTCACAACATCTCACACTGAGTCAGGGTATTTAGGAGATGTGAAGGTTATATATTTCTGGAGTTCACACTATTACAAACTGTAAAAGCATGTCTTCAAATAGTGGTGAACTGAAGCAGATATATTCTTTCTGGGGACTCTCTAGCACCTTTGGTAAATTTAAACTTGGCTTTAGACAAATTTTAAGCAGGGTGTGAAGAAATCACTTTGGCTGTCACCTTGTATTTGAGTGGATTTCCTTAACATTTAGCAATGAATCAATCTGAGAGTCTTTTGAGTAATCAGAGATTTCAAGGTATGACCTATTTCTTAGCTAAGCCAGACAGTCTTTTTAAGCGATGATAAAATGAAATTCCTCAACAAAAGCAAAATATAAGAAATCTTTCTCCTTTTGGAAGAATGCAGTATCACCTAAAAAAACCAGTCTAAAGAATAGTCCTCTCGGTTATCTCTCAAATTTCCAACAGGACAGACTCCCAACTACAACAGTACATCAGTTGCCACTGATATAGGTTGCTAAAAGTACAGTGTTTTGTTTTGATACTAGGGATTGAACCCAGAGGTTTACCGCTGAGCTACATCCCCATCCCTTTTTATTTTCTATTTTAAGACAGTTGCCCAGACTAGCCTCAAACTTGTGATCCTCCTGCCTCAGCCTCTGGAGTTGCTGGTATTATAGGCATGCACCACCATGCCCAGCCACAGTACAGTCTTTTCCACAAGGTACTAGCAATTGATTCAACCATCCTGGGCACTAGATAAAAATATTGGCTTCTTTTGACTTCTAACAGATTAAAAGTAGCTTCACTGAGCATATTTTTTATCTTGAAATGTAAGATCTCCTCTGTATTAATGAGTCTGACAGGTTGAATTTGTTTTAGATATTCAGCAATACTTGTCAATACTTAGAACATGGCTACTCTCACCAAAGCATTACCTCAGAGTTTACCAAGACTGGGCATAATGCATAAAAAAAGTGCCTCTTGAAATGTAGGCACACTGGTTTTTCTAACTTTTTTTCCACATTTCATCTACGGTCCCTTTTCATACTGCCGTTTTTCTCTTGGGAATATACAAATATTCTCAGGAAAAGTTGACCAAATAATTAAGTTTGACAACTTGTTTGAGCCAGTAATGACAGCTTCCTAGTCAATCACTCCTTTCTCCGTTGTTAAGACACTATCTTGGAAATATTAACTCTGACAGTCATGGCAATGCCACTCTTCCCTGAGTCAGCTGCTCCTCTTTGTTAATTATCACTTTTTAACAGGTGAGCTGGGCAACCACACATGCTTCAAGCAGGTGCCTCTGGATAGTGGTTGGATAATCAAGATTGTTTGCTCAATATATTTGTGTTTGAAACCCTCTTTCACAAGAAAAAATCATACACTGCAACTGTTTATCAAATCCCACCTGTCAAAGACCAATACTCATTTCTCATATTAAAAAAAAAAAAAAAAAAGGTTGAACAGACCACAGAAATATACTTACCTCAAAATTGCAGAATAGCCAAAAAGTATTTTTAAAATCTTACTGAGGGCTTAAGTCTCTAAGTCATCATCACTGTCTGGCCCTGAGATACCAACAATGCCAGGCGATCACTTCCACTTGCTAGCTAGCTTTAAAACCCAACTGATCTCTAATTTTAGAGCTAAGAATCAATTCTGAGCAGTACAACAATGGACATTTTCAAGTGTATGGCTTAACATCAGGGTTTTTTTCCCCCACTCAGGGCTGGCACTGTTGCCTAATGTTTCACAGCTTCTTCTATAACATGCAGAAACTGCAGATAAGGGGCAAAACTGCTGTGTAGGCCCTGTGGTTCTTTCCAGTGTTTGCAGAGCGGTCTTCAGTGGAGGGGATAGTCATGGCACACAGGTGGATGGCCTATTCTCAGGATGGGCTCATCTAGATGGGCTTTTGTTTTGTTAGTGGTGCTGAGACTGGAACTCAGAGCCTCATGAATGCTGGACAAGTGCTCTGCCACGGAGCCACATCCCCAGCCCCCTAGAAGAGTCTTAATTGCAAAACTCAAAGTACCCTCTAAGTATCTCACTTTTCAGAAGCAATGAATTTCATTTTCAGTATGACCAAAATTAAATTTGGTTACAAAGAAAACATTAGTTTCATATAAAGGAAGTTAAAACACACCTAATCCATAAAAGTATAGAATTATGGCCCCCATGCAGGCTTTTTCTAGGCAGCACTGCTTTTAGGAATGATAAGCTCAAGCCTGAGGATTCTGCTCTGGAGACTCACTTTATGGAAAGATGATATCAAGAAAGCATCCCAGGGCTGGGGATGTGGCTCAGGCGGTAGCACGCTCACCTGGCATGCGTGCGGCCTGGGTTCGATCCTCAGCACCACATACAAACAAAGATGTTGCGTCTGCTGAAAACTAAAAAATAAATTTAAAAAAAAAAAAACATCCCAGGGCTGGGGCTCAGCAGTAGCACACTTGCCTGGCACGTGTGAGGCACTGGGTTCGTTTCTCAACACTGCACATAAATAAATAAAATAAAGGTCTATCAACATCTAAAAAAAATTTTTTTTTAATTTTTTTTTAAAAAAGCATCCCAGGGCATGGGCTCTACACATTTTTAAAGTGAAAGACCCCTTTACAGTTTAGACATATCCTGCCAGGCATGGTGGCACACACGTGTAATCCCAATGGCTCAGGAGGCTGAGGCAGGAGGATCTAGAATTCAAAGCCAGCCTCAGCAATTGTGTGAGGCCCTAAGCAACTCAGCGAGACCCTATCTCTAAATGAAATACACAAAAGGGCTGGGGAATGCCCCTAGTTTCAATCCCAGGTACCAAAAATAACCCCACAGTTTAGACAAATCCTTCCCAATGTATATACACTTCTATGGATAATGTTGAGGACATGAAAATCTCTTTAGTCTCTTTCTGGGATCTACAGCCCAAATATCATGGAGTGTTCTAATCTCTAATAGCCCAGCAGGACTGGAAAGAGTACAGCTACTGTTCAGAAAACCAAGACAGAGAAGTAAAATGGCTAACGTAAGAAAAGCAGATCTGAAGGACAGCCAAAAACACCTTAGGAACAAAAACAAGGAAAGACTGCCACAAGCAGTTAGAAAATGATGGATCACCCCTGCCTCATGGGGTATAGTCTGACAGCCAGCAACCATCTAGATCCTTCCTGGCTGGCCCCCCTCACCACTCTGGAACACCTAAGGATTTTTTAAAGTATTATATGAAAGGCTCCAAAAAGTCCAAAACTACCAATTCACAAGGCTCCCTGCTATATATTAGCAGCTGATTTTAAAAATAAAATAGCATCTCAAAAACCAACCTGAATCTTCTGACCCCAGGTTTAAATTAAAAAAACTAATAAAAGAATGTTTTATTTTAAGAAAAACAAACCATAAATCATGTTTGGGACTAAAATGCCTTTCTAGGCAGCTGAGGATTCAACTATTCAAAAGAGGACCTCTTTATGTGCCCTGATCCCTAAAACATGCCAATTGGGGTGAAACAAGAGCTTACCTATGGCTGAAGATACAACTAAAAAGGGGCCAGAAGCTCTTTATTGCTTTGGTTAATTTTGGAAGTATTTTCTGAGTGCCTGTTGCAGTTATAAGGACTAAAACATCAGGCACCATCAACATCACAATCTGCTGGGGCAAATGCCCCAAGGAACTTTAGAAGATAAGGGAGCAATTAGTTTTGCTATATGAGGAGACTGGGAAAAATGTGAAAAATGCATGTTTTGAGGGTTATTCTGGAAAAGTAGCTGGGAAACCCCACCCCATCTCCTCCACAGCCCTATCCTCTCCATAGCTGCAGCTCCAGGGTACAGATACAAGACCCTAGGCAACAGCTCACCTGTACAATCCCAGAGCCTCAGGTTAAACCAACCCGGCAGACTAGGGAGCAGCTATGGGATCTGGACATTACTCTAGCCACATTCCTTATCAAGTCAGAGAGGCCAAACACCTGAAGGTCCAGCCCTCACCTGAAGGGGCATTGATGCACTAATTTGTTACCAACAAGATTTTTTAACAATTGGGAAATTTTTGCACTAGTCTAGCCAACAGTTTCCTTAAAATCAAGAAAAAAACTTAAAATGGAGTGTACATAGACAAACCAAAGAGGTTGAGTTTAGGTATTATTCCACCAACAATGCATAACTTATTAAGGTGGGTTGTTAGCTAGTTATAAAAATGTTTATAACAATTGCAGGGAAATAAAACTGAAAGGGCATAGATCTGTGGAATAATAAACAAGGTATTCAAAAACCAGTATACCCCACGGCTTGGGTTATAGCTCAGAGGTAGAGTGCTTGCCTTGCATGTGTGAGGCACTAGGTTTGAGCCTCAGCACCACATGAAAAAATAAATTAATTAAATTAAGGTATTGAGTCCATCTACAAGAAAAAAAATAACATAAAAACCAGTATACCCCAATATGTGTCATCAAAGCAGGGACCATTAAATCTATACTTTTTCATCAAATGCACTTGGATATCCTGTTTACCTTTTTCATTAATTCACTTCTGGTAGTAAACTGTGGCAGGTCTTCCACTTCAATACCATCAGCCATTTCCATCACCTTGTCTAGAAGGTCTTTATTGTAACTGCACAATAAAAAGTAGTAAGGTAAAAACCTTGGAAGAATTACTAGTCACTGTGGGTTAATAAGAAATTGCAAGTTACTAGATTGTAAACTTAACTCTAGAAGTATTAAATTTTTCTTTTTTTAAAGAGACAGAGTCTTACTGCTGGGCATGGTAACACACACCTGTAATCCCAGAAACTCAGGAGGCTGAGGCAGGAGGATCACAAGTTCAAGGCCAGCCTCAGCAACTTAGTGAGACCCTGTCTCAAAATAAAAATAAAAAAAGGTTAGGGATGTACTCAGTGGTAAAGTATCCCAAGGTTCAAACCCCAGTACAAGAGTATGAAAGAGAGAGAGAGAGAGAGAGAGAGAGAGAGAGAGAGAGAGACAGGGAGAGAGAGAGAGAGAGAGAGACAGGCAGGCATAGGGTCTTGCTGTTGTCCAGGCTGGCCTAGAACTCCTGGGCTCAAGTGATCCTCCTACCTCAGCTTCCTTAATAGTTGGGACTATAAGTACAGGCCACTGTGCTGGGTTCTTCTGTGGACTAATTTGATACTGTCAGGGAAACCTATATATATGTTCAGCACAAGGTTAGAAAATAGTTCTTCCTCTTTTGGGGTACAGAATTAGGCTTTGGAAATGCCAATAAGAGCAGATGTTTCAAGATTTTCAAAAACAGAGGCACCATATGTCTGGCAGTACATATTCATGAATATGGTATGAGGGCAAAAAAAATATTTTTTATTTTAAACATCTAGAATGTTGTCTAATGAAAACAGCATCATTTGTTCATTTGCTCAATTCTCTGACATCTGTCTAATCTTGAACCTATTAACCAAGAATACCCAGGGGTACATAGAAGGCAGAAAGGAGAGAAGTGTATGTCTGGGATGGGTGAATCTGGTATATCCTATTCTAATAAATCCCAATATCTGGGGTTGGGGGTGTAACTCAATGCTAGAGCATGTGCTTAGCATGCAAGAGGCCCTGCATTCAACCTCCAGCACCAAAAGCAAAACCAAAGCAAATCCAAGTGGGTTGACCTGGAGGGATCATGTGACCAGAGTCAAGCAAGATACAGAAACCACCAACAAACCAAGTCATTCTTTTCTAACTTCAAGAAACTGTAAGAGGGTAGAAGGGATCCTCAAGATCTCTGCCTTCTTCATAATGGGGTCAAAAAAAGGTCAATCAGGCATTTCAAAAGCAGGACCTTGCTCTCTTGATGCCGTTGCCAAGAAGCAGTGGACTTTGGGACCTTCACAAAAAGATAAGTTCAAAAAAGTTCATTAAAGGGAAAGCAAAAAAAGTAAATCTAGCTCCTGCTCAGGATCAAATAGTCTGGGATTTGGGGAGACAAAGTCCTGGGACACAGATCCTACCATCGTGGTATAAAATCTACCAATCCTGCCAGAAGCTGCATGCCCTACAAAAATAATTTCCTCTCCCTCAGCCTCTTCATCTGATGGCGGGGGAGTCTTCTTCAGTCTATGCACTTTTGCCTTGTGAGTGAAAGGTGCAAATGGACTTAAAACACACTCTGAAAAGGTAGTGATCTGAGCTAGTAATTAGTAATACTGATAAGAGCAATGTGGCAACTCTGGAGCCCACCATGTACTAAGCTGTTCGTCTTTTAATTCCTGTAGCCATCATAACCACCCATTTACCAGATGAGGAAACTGAGGCTCAGAAAAAAATTAAGCATCTTTCCAAGGGGCTGCAAGGTGGAAAGGAGCCGGTGGAACAGCCAGTGCGATGGGAGGTTGGGGACGGGTTGAGTCTGAGACAGAGGTTTTGGGTCAGAGGGCTGAGGGTCGGCAGGCAGGGAGCAGGGTCAGCCGGCCGGCAGGGGTCCGCACCTGCAGCCCAGGAAAAGATGGTTGGCCCAGACCATGGAGAGGGACAGCAGCTGGTCCAGGCGGCCGCCGCCGTCGGGCGGGTCGCGGTAATCAGGCAGGTGGCGCAAGATGAATTCCATGCGGGCCTTCCATTGCTTCTCGCTCTCAGAGTAGGAGCGGAACTGCTCGGCGAAGTCGGCCGCTTGCCGCACCCCGGAAACCAGCTCCTCCACCGCTGCAGCCGCCTCGCCACCCACCATGGCTCGCGCTGCAGCCGAGGGCCGGATCCTCCCGCCGCTTTCCCGATGCGCACCGCGCCACAGCCCGGCTGCTAGAGGGGCCCCGGCGGCACGCGACTGCTCTGGAGGACCGGCCTGGAGCGCCCTCGCCGGGCCCGGCGGCGTACCCCGGCTCTGCCAGCCGCGCCCGAGGCTTCCCTCACACCTCCGCAGCCTGCCGCGGCTGCGGAGTGGGTGTACTCTGGACTGCAAGGGCGGCTCGGGATCGACCCCACGGAAAACCGATGGGAAAACTGAGGTCCGCCAGTGGAGTCCAGGCACCCCCACCTCCAGTGGGCAGCTGGATGCCAAATAGAACTGTGCTGTGTCCTTTTTGCCCTGCGAGGTCTCCAGGCACCGCCCTATCCTGAGCGACAGCAGAGGCCTGTGCCACAGAGGGATGCCCTAATTTCTGGGGATCTATACATGTAGCTGCCTGGGGTCTCTCTTTGATTTATTCCCAGGGGTCTTAACACCCCACTCAGGTTGAGGCCTGAAGTAAGTAATCCATCCAATGAATACTTGCCAGACACTTTGCTAGGTGCTGAGGATAAACTAGAGCAAACTCAAAGCCCTGCTCTGGCAGCGCATGCCTGTAATCCCAGCTGCTGAGGAGGCTGAGGCAGGAGGATCACAGGTTCAAAGCCAGCCTCAGCATTTGAACAAGGCCCTAAGCAACTTAGTGAAACCCCTTTAAGAAAGTAGATACGCATTCAAGGGATAATACAGGCCATCTCAAGAGTAAAAGATATTTTGGGGAGATTCTCAACTCTTGGGGGGGGGGCAGTATTTGGGATTGAACCCAGGGACACTCTGCCACTGAACTACATTCCCAGACCTTGTTATTTTATTTTTGAGATAGGCTCTCACTAAATTGTCCAGGCTGGATATGTAGGAATGATATCAGACTGGTGATCTCAAGACGGGTTCTGGTGGTTTGGTCAATCTCTTAGGCTAATATGGACTTCATTATCTGATCAATAGATAGCACTTGAAAGTCTCCTGAATTACATGTTCCTCAAGCTATGTTATCTCTCTTTGCTTAATCTCTTTAGGGTGATAATTAACAGTGCACAGGTAGATTTACAGATTTCCCAGGAATTTGGGAGTAACAGGCCTGGAAGGGAAGTGGATTTAGGGAATGATAGAACTTCTGAATTCAAATCTTTTCCTTGTCCTTCCTATCTACCTGTTTCTTATTTCTTCTACCTCATGAGGACTAGCACCAGGCTCAGCAACATCTGACTACATTAATAGGAAGGCAGCTACTCATACTCCAGCAAGAAGAGGTGTGAACAGAGTATGAAACCAAACACAGATGCAGCTTCTTCCCTGCAGTCTAGATTAGGTGCCCAGAGCTACAGTTCCTAAAATGCAGATCACACTTCCTTATAGTCTTATTAATATGGCAGATTCCCAAGCCCACCCCTGCATGCTCAGAATCAAGGCTCCAGACAATTCATACCAAATGTGAAAAGCATTCAATAAACAGGAACAGTGGCAAATACCTAGAGTTCAGGGCCATCCTGGGCATCATATTGAGATCCCATCTCTAAAGAGAGAGAAAGAGAAAGGAAAGAAGGAAGGAAGGAAGAAAGAAAGACAAACAGTGTTGTCGAGGATTCTGAGTCAAATTCTTGGTCACCTGATTATACAGTGCAGAGGATGGACCAGAAACAGGAAACCAGACTTTGTGAACTGCAGCTACAAAAATACAGTCAACCCAACCTATAGGATGGGAAAATACTGAGGGTCATGCAGCAACTAATTTATTTAGCATAGTCTCTGGCAATCAATGATGCGGCATATGTATATACATACACATATATGCAAGCAAATTTAGACATGTGTTTTAAGAATGAGAAGCACATTAATAGGCCAGGCACAGTGGCACATGCCTGTAATCCCAGCAACTCAGGAACTGGGGCAGGAGGATCACAGGTTCAAGGCCAGCCTCAGAGATTTAGCAAGGTCTTAAGCAACTTAGTGAGACCCTGTCTAAAAATTTAAAATAAAATGAAAAGGGCTGGAATATGACTCAGTGGTTAAATGCCCTGGTACAAAAAAAAAAAAAAGTGCACTAACAGGTATTCATTTTTTGTAATGTGAAATTGTTAACATTATACATTAAAATGTGAAGTAGTTTTAAAACTTTAGTATTAAACTGGGTATGTGGTGGCGCACTCCTGTAATCTCAACGGCTCAGGAGCCTGAGGCAGGAGGATCCCCAATTCAAAGTCAGCCTGAGCAACTTAGCAAGGCCCTGTCTCTAATTAAAATATTTTTTTAAAAAGTGCTAGGGATGTGGCTCAGTGGTAAAATGCCCCTGGGTTTAATCCCTGGTACCAAAAAAAAACCAAAAAACTTTAGTATTAACATTTCACAAAAGACCAGTTACTAAGCAGTTTATTGTTTCTAATTTGTTTTTATGATTCAAACTTTTTTTTCTTTTTTGGTACCAGGTATTGAACCCAGGTGTGCTTTACCACTGAGCTATATCCCAGCCCCTTTTTGTTTTTTATTTTGGGACAGGATCTTGCTAAATTGAAGAGGTTGGCTTTGAACTTGTGATCCTCCTGCGTTAGCCTCCACAGTTGCTGGTATTACAGGTGTGCACCAGTTGGACTGGCTATGACTGAGACTTTCTTAAAGTACTTATAAGAAAGACAAAGTCAGTTTCACCACCTCTTTTTTTTTTTCTTTTCCAATCATTTAAAAAGCTTAAAATTAGCTTAAAATTCTGGCAAAAACAGATTACAGGCTACCTCTGACTCTAGGTCAGTCTGCCAACCTTGCTATGGCTTAGGGTAAGTCTTAAAATCAGGTTGTAAAAGTCCCACAACTGTGTTCTTTTATGAAATTGTTAAAACAATAGTTTTGACTATTTTAGTCTGTTTTTTTGTTTGTTTGTTTGTTTGGTTGGTTGGTTGATTGGGTATTTTTTAGTACCGGGGATTGAATTCAGGGGCACTTAACCACTGAGCCACATCCCTAGCCTATTTTGTATTTTATTTAGAAACAGGGTCTCACTGAGTTGCTTAGGGCCTCGATTTTTTAAAAATATCTTTTTAGGTGTTCATAGAACTTTATCCTATTTATTGATATGTAGTGCTGAGAATTGAACCCAGTGCCTCACACATGCCAGGCAAGTGCGCCACCACTGAGCCATAGCCCCAGCCCCTTAGTGCCTTGATTTTGCTGAGGCTGGCTTTGAATCCTCCTGTCTCAGACTCACCAGCCACTGGGATTACAAGCATGCACCTTCACGTCTGGCTAGTCTGTTGCTTTTTCAATATAAATTTTAGTATCAGTTTGTTAATTTGGGGGAAGACAGGTGGCTGATATGTTAATTGGTATTGTGTTGAACTTATAGATCAATTTGAGGAGAATTAACATCAATTAAATCTTCTAATCCATAAACATGGTATAGTATATCTCTCCATTTATTTATGCCTTCTTTTTTTAAATTTTTAGTTGTAGATAGACACAATATCTTTAGTTATTTATATGGTACTGAGAATCCAGGAACCAAAGCGTTCTATCACTGAGTCATAATCCCAGCCCATATTTATGCCTTCTTATTGTTGTAATGTACTTTTAAATCCAATGAAATAGCCAGGCCCAATGGTGGATGCCCATAATCCCAGCGACCTCCGAGGCTGAGGCAGGATGACTACAAATTTGAGGTCAGTCTCAGTAACTTAAAAATCCAGGAAAACATTAGATTTACACATATATTTACCATTTTAGGTGTTCATCATTCCTTATCTAGCTCTTACCTTCCATCTGATTTCATTTTCCTTACACCTGAAAACTTTACATTAGAATTTGTTTTAGTACAGATCTGCTGGTTCTGAACTCTCTCTTTCCTTTTGTCTGTCTAAAAATATCTTTATTTTGCCTTCTGTATTAGTTATATGGCTGTATAACAAATGACTACAACATTTAGAGACTTAAAAAGATAATCAGAAATTCAGGAGTGGCTTATCTGGATGGTTCTGGCTCAATATCTGGTGAGGTTTCAGTCTACTTGTTGTCTGGTACTGCAGTTATGTGAATTTTTGCCTGGGGCTGGAAGATCACCTCCAAGATGGCACACTCACGTAGTTATTTGTAGCAGGTCTTAGTTTTCCACTGCATGAATCTCTACACAGGGTTGATGAGGGTCTTCACATGGCAGGGTCTTCAGAGAAACTGAACCAAGAAAGAGGAAGACAAAGCCAATTTTTTTTTTTTTTTTTTTTGTACCAGGGATTGAACTCAAGGGCACTTAGCCACTGAGCCACATCCCCAGCCCTTTATTGTATTTTAGAGACTCACTGAGTTGCTTAGGGCTTCACTAAATTTCTGAGGCTGGCTTTGAACTCATGATTCTCCCTGCCTCAGCCTCCTGAGCTACTGGGATTATAGTTATGTGCTACCATGCCCAGCCCCAAAATATTTTATTGCTTTGGACTCACAGGTCACATACCATCACTTTTTAAAAAAATATTTATTTATTTATTTATTTATTTAGGGTGCTGGGGATTGAACCTAGAATTACTTTACCATTGAAGCACATCCCCAGTTCTTTTTACTTTTTGAAACTAGTTCTCACTAAGTTGCTTAGGGTCTCACTAAATTGCAGAGGCTGGCCTCAAACTTGTAATCCTTCTGCTTCAGACTCCCAGGTCACTGGACATACCATCACTTTGATTATTCTATTCATTAGAAGTGAGGCACTAACCAGGTATACACCTGTAATCCCTGCAACTAGGGAGACTGAGGAAGGAAGATCACAAGATCAAGGTCAGCCTCAGCAATTTAGTGAGGTTCTCTCTCTCAAAAAAAAAAAAAGTAAAAAAAGGGCTAGCGGGGTGGGATGTAGCTCAGTGGTTCAAAAAAGTACTTGATTATATCAAATACAATTTCATTATTTACAAAGATAATCATGTTATTTTCTATTTAGAACTATTAATATTATGACATATTGGTAGGTTTTAGAATATACAGTCAAATTTCCATTCCTAAATGAAACTACTCCATTTAGGCACAATGTAGTATTCTTTCTGTGTAGTCTTAGATTTTGCTTGCTAAAATTTTATTTAAATTTTTGCATTGATGTTTATGAATTAGATTGGCTTTTTTTTTTTTTTTCCTTTTTCCCAGTACTAGGAATTGAGCCCAGAGCAGCTCTACCACTGAGTTGCATCCCCAGGTCTTTTTTTTTTTTTTTTTTTTTTTGAGTCAAAGTATCATTAATTTACCAGACCAGCCTTGAATTTGTAATCTTCCTACCTCAGTCTCCCAAGGAGCTGAGATTACAGGTGTGCACTTCCATGGTTGGTTCTGTTTTTTCTTTATTTTTTTAAATATTGTTTTTAGTTGTTGATGGACCTTTATTTACTTATATGTGGTGCTGAGGATCAAACCCAGTGCCTCACATTTGCTAGGCAAGCACTCTACCACTGAGCTACAACCCCAGCCCTTCTTTATTTTTTTAATGCTGATTCTGGTATCGATGACTTCTGGGTATGCTACCTAAAATATGGTACTTTGGCATTCTGATCTCTTGCCCTAACCTCTGTTATTTGTTGTAGTTTTGTTTCTACAGTTAAATTCATGCAGTGCTCAAGGAAAATCCTTTTACCCTGATTTCCTCAGGGTTGTTCAGAGGTTGGTCCATGGTTCTAATAGGTTCCTCAGAAAGGGCTTATGAGAATATTTCTATATTTCTTATAGTTTTTTTTAATGTTTGTCTATGGGCCTTATACTTGAGGATCAGTTGGCTGGATAGAATTTTCTTCTATTAAGTGTATTCTGGGTGTTGCTCACTGTCTATGGTGGTGACTGTTTTCCCGAAGAAGTGGTGGAGTGTCAAGTATAGCTCTCTGGGTTGACAGATGGAAAAATTCACACATGGTCCTTCTGAGGAGCCACCTCTTCTCCAGATTTTAGAGCTCTGTCCATCTCTGTTTTCCAGGTTTCATCATAACCCTTATTTTGAAGAGAGTGTGTCCACTTTCACAAGTTTTACTTTTCCCAGTGCTTTCCAAGACTCATCATTGAAATCTATTGATTTCTCTCCAAGAAATCATTCTTCTGTTTTTATTTATTTGTTTGTTTGTTTGTTTGTTTTGGTTTTGGATTTGGTTTTGGTTTCTATGCTGGGGTCAAACCTAGGGCCTCATACATGCTAGGCAAGTGTTCTACCACTGAGCTATACACCCTTAGCCCCTAGAAATCTTGATTTGTTCAATGTAAGCCTTGTTCTCCTAGCTCTCTTTGGAAGTGGTATCCTGCCCTTTTGAAAAGGAATAATTCCTGGAGATTTCTGAGCTCTCTGAAGCTGTATGGGCTCTCCTGACTCAAGGGTCCTCGCTGGGTTTCTTGTTCTATGGCAGTTTTTTTTTTTTTTTTTTTTTTTTTGCGGGGTGGGGGTGTGATGGATCCCAGGGTCTTACACAAACCTGGCCAGTCCTGTAACACTGAGCTACACATCCTTAGCCTGGCAGCAATTAATAACACTTGGGACATTGCAGTTTTCTTCTGGTTTTACTGAATGCATCAGTTTGCAAGTTTATTGTCATTACATGTAGGAATGTTCATAACTACATTTCTGCCGTGTTCCTTCTAAAATGGAACATTTTCTTGTTTTAAAAATTGTAATAAAAATATTTAATCACTGCCACTGTGATTTATCCTTTTAACTAGACATCTATGGACATCTAGGGTCCCCCCACCTTCTGATAAATTCCTAGAAGTGGAATTCCTGATTCAAAAGAACATGTATACTCTGAAAGCTTTTACTATGCTTTGCCAAATTACCCTCCAGAAAGTTTATACCTAAGTTTCCATACCTACCAGCTGCAGGCTTAACCTTTAAATCTGGTGAATAGTTATTGCAATCACTACACACACATTCTTGAATTTCCAGACTCTCTTAAGCAGCCTGTCTTCTCTTTGTGCAGCCCCTTGCTGTGTGGCTGATGCTCTGTAGAAACCTCTGGCCCAGAGGCCCTGGCACTGAAACACGGGGCTGGAAATACAGCTAGTCCTTATTTACCCTCTGGCCACTTTCAGCTCTTCTGATTTTCATCCATGCCAAGCAGGGCCAATCCAACTGGAGCAATCCCCCCTGGAAATGTCTCAGCCAGGCCTCCTACTGGGTGGTGGGAACAAGAACCATAGGCTCCAAGGTTTCCTTTTTCTTTCCACCAGAAAGCTCAGCAAGTAACTTAAATTCATGTGTCAAAGAGGATGGGGAGCTATTTTTCCTCCATATGTGAAAAAAAAATAATTCTAAAATAACCAAATGAACTGGAGAAGTGGTTTTACTCTTGCCCATCCTATCTCAAAAACTGGATATGAAGGTACATTAAAAATATTGAGTGAGTTGAGTTCTCGAAACTGGTTTTCTGATCTCTCTGGAAGAAGGTAAGCTTCCCAGTCTTGGATCTAGAACTATTACAGAAGTATCTATATTCTGAATATAGTTGTCCCTTAGTATCCACAGTTCTGGGACCCTCAAGAACCTTACATAAAACAGTGTAGTATTTGCATATAACCTATGTACATTCTCCCAAATATTTTTATTTATTTATTTGGTACTAGGAATTGAACCCAGCGGTGTTTTACCACTATGCTACAACCCTAGCCCCTTTTAATTTTTTACTTTGAGACAGCTGTCACTATATTGCCCAGGTTGTCCTCAAACTTGTCATCTTACTGCCTCTAAATCATCTTTAAATCCTCTCTAGATTACTTATAACACCTAACACAACGTTAATGCTATGTAAATAGTGTTATAATGTATTGTTTTAGGAATAATTGGTAAGAAAGGAGATGTTGTTCTTTCTTCGGAATATTTTCAACTTGTAGTTGGTTATCAGCAGGTAAGAACTTGTAGGAATGGAGGGACCACATAGTATTCCCCGGTTGGGTTTCTCTACAATCTCCTTCTCCAACACATAGCTTTCACAAGGACAAATAATATGCAAAACTTTTTTTAGTCTACTTATGATAATTGCCTCAAATTAACATCACAAGGCAAGGGAAATTATATTCCCCAAAGGCATCCTACCACTGGAAGTTATGCTGCTCCTCACAGCACAGGTAGTGAGGATTACTTCTGCTTTGTGTTGGTTAAGGCATTATTTATATTCATATAAGATGGAATTTTTGGTACCAATGGATGAATGTTGAAGCCTCTTGTAAATGTAACCGTTTTTCTATTGAATTATACAAGTCTTTTCTCTGTCAGAAACCTTGAGTGGTGTTCTTATAACAGAGGTTTGGGTCTGCTTTTACTTTCTGTACTCACTCTTTTGCTCTTCTGCACGCCCTAGGCCATTCCATGAGATCCTGAGTCTGAGTGCCTAATTTGAAGCACAGCACTGATGAACAGAAGTATTCACAGACCCGATTACAGGCAGAGCAAAGGATCTGGTTACAGAAGCTCCGTAATATCTTTAGAGCTTTGGAAGACTGTTTTGTAGATGGCTAATTCTTCATCACCTCCCCCCTTTTCTTTTTAGTACCAGAAATTAAATCCAGGGGCACTTTACCAATGAGCTACATCCCCAGCCCTTTTAATATTATTATTATTTAATATATTTATTATTATTATTATTTTGAGACAAGTTCTCGCTATGTTATTGAGGCTGGCCTGAAATCTGCACTCCTCCTGCCTCAGCCTCCTAAGTCCCTGGGATAACAGAGGTGTACCACCACATTCAGCTCTTTTAGGGACTTTTCTTTGGTCTCTGATATTCTGAAATTTCATGATAATTAACTCAGGTGTAGATCTTATTATCTCTCCCTGAGAATTTTTATGAGTTCTTTCCCTCCCACCTACCCCCACCCCCACACATGCATACACCTGTCTCTCCTGTCTGAGGTGTTCCTTAATTGTCTGGAGATCCTGGCTCTCTGATCATATTAAAGGATTATGTCCTAAAGAGATGACTGGATGGTCAGCATGCTTAGACAAGGCTTGTCTAATGCTGGACTTCCCTGCACAGTGTGTATCTTTCATTCAGGGTCCCAATAGCCTTCAGCCTCGGCGGTGAGGTTTGTACCTGGCTGCTGGCTTTCTACAAGCAGGGTGAGGAAAAAAGGGACTTTTTAGTATCTAGTTTCCATTTATTCCCATTTATTTTCAATTATGTTCCTCATACCCAACCAGAAGAGTGTCTGATATGCAGATCCAAAGTCCCTAGGGAGAGAACTCCAGGTGTCCTGCAGGAGCAGGCAGGTGTAATCAGCCCACAGCCCACTTCACCTGACCTCCCCAGGATCCTGCCATTTACAGCCTGGTCCTCCCTTCCCCAGCAGCTTGGCCTGCTCCTTCCCAGGAACCTTGCTGCAGGCACGGGCCTCCGCTTCCTCCACACTGCCGTGTGACTCACCATTTCTTTCCTCCCTTCCCACCTTCCAAAAATGTGTTGACATCCTTCATCTGTTCCTATCTCTTCCCCTGGTCTCCGAGACCTTGTTGTTTATACCCATTTTTATTCCTTTCTAGTTGTTTTTAGTAGGGCTTTGGGAAGGAGTAGACAGATTCAAGACAGAATCTTCTGCCATGTTTAACCGGAAGTTTGTGAACCAGAAGTTCACTCAGAAGCACTTTCAGATGACAATTTCCAGGCTGTGCTGTGAAATAACTCTTGCTTTTTGTCAAAATAGTCACTTTTTATTTTACTTTGGATAGATGTTTATGGGAAATAGAAAAAGTCCAAATGATTTGTTTTTAGTTTTTTGTGGTGCTGGGGATTGAACCTAGGGCCTTGTGCATGCAAGGCAAGCATTCTACCAACTGAGCTCTGTCTCCAGCCCTGTTAGCACCTTTGAATTCACCATGGACCCACCTCTTCTGCTCTCGGGTGCTGGCTGCTTCCAACAGTGGTATTTTGTCTGCCCAAGGAGCTCCTTTCATCTGAAGACCACTCAAAACCCCTTCATGTAGAACAGAACACATGGCTCTTGAATTATGAGGGATGTCCAACAGCCATTCCTCATTGCTCTTCCAGGAAGGCTCAACGTCTTGGGGAGGATAACTGCCATTTCAGTGTGTTCCACTGAGCCCCACTGCCATCTGAAGTCCAGTCAAGCCAAGGAGGGAAAGCCAGGTCAGGAACCTGTTATAGGGAAAAGTGACTCCGCTGGGGGAGGGAGAAAGGAGCCAGCTGGCAGAATTGATAAACCTCATGAGCAGGGTCTTGAATGCCACTCTAAAGCCTTCAGATTTTCCTGCAGGGAGTAGGGAGTTACCTAAGGATTTTGAGCAGGAGAGTGGCAGGAGATAAACTGTGCTTTAAAAACGTTAAGCTAGGGGCTGGGATTGTGGCTCAGTGGTAGAGCGCTCGCCTAGCACGCAAGAGACCCTGGGTTCAATCCTCAGCGCCACATAAAAATAAGTAAAATAAAGGTATTGTGTCCAACTACAACTAAAAAATAAATATTTATTTATTTTTTCTTCTTCTTTTTTTTTTTTTTTAGTTATTGGCGGACACAACATCGTTGTTTGTATGTGGTGCTGAGGATCGAACCCGGGCCGCACGCATGCCAGGCGAGCGCGCTACCGCTTGAGCCACATCCCCAGCCTCCTAAAAAATAAATATTAAAAAAAAAAAAAAAAAAAAAACATTAAGCCAGCCAGTCATGATGGTTCATAGCTGTAATCTCAGCAAATTGGGTTTGAGGCAGGAGAAGTACAAGTTCAAGGCGAACCTCAGCAACTTAGTGAGAACCTGTCTTGACATAAAAAAATTAAAAGGGCTGGGGATGTAGTTCAATGATAAAGCTCCCTTGGGTTTAATTCTCAGTACAAAAAAAAATGTTATATACATATATCAGTCATGCATCAGAGAGCTCAGAGAGAGAAGCTGGATCTAGGCTGCCCTAGGATGCCCAGGTCAGTTAGACAAGGGGGTTCTTGGTGGTTTTTGGTTTTGGTCATACTGGGGACTGAACCCAGGGCCTTCCACGGGTTAGGCAAGTGCTCTATTTCTGAGCTCCCTCTGTTCTTTGTTGACTTAAGGGTTTCTTAATCATGGCTAGACAGATCACTGGGCAAGTTTTTAGAAATTGAGACCCTGGCCTCTACCCTTTGAGATCTTGTTTCGGGTGATTTGAGAAGGGACAAGAAATCTTCTCCAAAACATCCCATCTTAAACATGGGACTGTGACTCTGGAGAGGCAAATGAGGAAGAAGATTGGATAAGGCTGCCTTGAGGGGAGTCCCGCCTGACTCTGCCTTTTGTAGGGCCTGAGGAGAAAATTATGAGGAATACCATCAAGGGGGGCCAGAAGAGCTTCCTGGAGACTGGTACTCTCCCTGCAGGAAAAGGTAAAAGAAAATCAGGAAGAAGATGGTGACATGGGACATTCAGGGTGCCAAAAGAGCCAGAGACTTGGAAGATGAAGAATCTGTGAGCATCTGGCTTCTACTTACATTCCTGGAGTGTGTGGAGCTGGGAAACTAAGACTATAGTTCAGATCCCTGGTCCTATACATGTGGGGACATACACATGGACACACACACAATTCTTTTCTAAGAGAGGCAGAAAGGGTGAGGGTTCTGAGACAGGACTCTGCAGTTGCCCTGCACTGAAATCCTGTCTGTGTGACTCTGGACAAGGCACCTGCATCTGTGAGTAGATGCAGGTAGAAAGCGCAGGCTGTTGTGTTGATTTGATGAGATGCAGCATGTGGAAGCTGGGCACAGTGCCTGACACACAGGGAGTGCCCAGTATGAGAGCGCTAGGAGGCATTTTGAAAAGTGCCATCTCACTGCTGAAGCCATTGAGCCCTAAGTATTTCATTCAGTGTCAGGAGATAAGTCCACAGGAAGGCATGAACCCTTTCATTTGTTGCTACCCATTCCATGTGGCTTTCTCTGGTATGTGTTGGGTGACTCCTTTGCCTTTGATTTCTAGGACTTGTAGAGAAATGACAGTCCCTTGCTGCTGCATTTAATTGGAGAGGAGCACAGAGACCCGAGATTATAATTATGACGTCTTAAATGTCAAGCTCTTCAAAAGTCTGCCATTGCCCTCACTATCACCCTGTAAAGCTCTGGGAACCAAAACCCTGCAGCCCCTCCAAAGCGTGCCCTGGGTCTCTCAGCCAGGTTTCACCTGGGAAATCTGAGTGACAGTGATGTGCAGGCAGCTGGAAGACACACAGTAAACCAAGGAGCCTGTGATGAGCTCAGAAGAGGTGAGTTGATGATCTGCTATTTATAGCCCCACTAAGAGGCTCTGGCCGCCAGCTCCATGTGAGGCTAGTGGAAATGATGCCTTCGCCGAGCTGAGAGCACAAAACGAAATTGGTGATTCATGGGCAGCCGCCACTTGAAATACAAACGCTCCTGCGTCCCCAGCCCCACCAGCCTTTCAGGCTCGTGTGGAGGTGTGTTGAGCAAAGTTGTTAGCCTGCTTCATCCCTCGCCTGTAGCTGCATGAATTTTGGCAGAACATGAGGACAGACAGGTTCTGTCCTCAAGGGGCTGACAAGGGGCCAGCAAAGGGCAGTAGCACTCCTGCAAGAGATCTGACAACCTCAATGCATCCATTCCAGAGGCTGGGATAAAGTCAAACCTAAGAGACAAGCTCTGGGGACAGTGGGGGATAAGGGGCAGAGAAAGGACAGTTCCCACTCCTGCCTTCTGTCTCCAAGGGTGATGTTAGCCACACAGCAGTTTCCCAATGACGCTTATTCCTGCTGAACATGCAAAAATGTACAATGAGGAAATCCTTGCAGCTTTTTTGTTTCCTAATTCCACAGCCCAGCACCTGTCACCCAAAATAGCTGTTGTTTATTTTCCTTGGTAAGTAACATCTTGGCTCCCAGGCCAAAGCCTTCTTGGAGGCCCTAACGTCTCACCCTAGGTGGAAATGTGGGACAAACCAGGACAACAAGACACAAACTAACTAAGCCAGAAGCCAGATCATCTGAATTCAAATTCTGTCTTTACATTTGCCAGCCACATGGCTTCAGGCAAATTGCTGTCTGGGACTCAAGTTTCCTCAGTTGTTAAATGGGTATAATAACAGAATCCACTCACTGGATTGTGTTGAAACTAAAATGATGTATTTGAGGCACAAGTGTTCTGCCCATTGGAAGGGCAATCATGGAAGCTGCTGCCCCTGCGGAGGTGGTTCTACTACTAGATTTTGGCCCCTATACTGACACTCTTTGGCTCATAGTCTGTAGCACAGAGGCTTCTCATGGAAGACCCTCTACCAATTACCAACACATAATGTCTCAGGCTGCCCAGCATGATAACCTTCATTCCTGGGCAGCCTGGCCCTTTGTTTGACCTGCCTGCCTCTGCCTTTGCCTAGGAACCAAGTATCTCTCCCTCAAGGCTGGGCCTTGCCTGGGGTTGACCACCCTGACTCTTCTGTTCTCCTAAGTCCTGGGGGTAGGGTAGCCTCCACTTCCAATGGAGGACTTCACCCAAGGGTCCCGAGTGCTAACCAGAGATCTGTAGGCAGTAAACTGCCCACCACAGGAGGGCCTGATTTTGACTGGCAGAGGGGCCCAACTTACCTACTAACTGGGCAGACAGCACGAACTGCTGATTCATGGGCACGCATGAGGCCTGAGTTGTTTGTATATTCTCTCATCTCCAGCTGTCGGCCAAAACATAATTGTAGTTGTCACTTTGGCAGCGAGATGCTGTGATGTGTCCTAATACAACTAACTGCCTCTGCTCCACAGCAGTGAGCTTTTGGGAGGTGGGGGAGGATCTGCAGCTGCTCACAGGAAGAGAACCATTCTGGAAAGTGGTCTGCGTGATGTTCATTCAGGTGCAGTCCCAGGGGCTGTGTGCTCACCAGGGTAAGGTCCTGCGTTAGAACGAACATAGGTTTGGCCCGCATCTACATCTGTGGAAATGCATTTTGGATGGCATCAGTTAATAAGAAAGAGGCAGCCATTGAAATGAGGTATTTTTGGCAACTATAAAGATTTGGAAAACAGCCTACAGACCATGTATGAGTTGGACTCCTGGTGTGTGGGGTGAAGGGGTAGGTACACAGCAGTGTATAGATGGTACCACAGACATAGCAAGGACCAGGTTGAGAAACAAGGAAACTCAAGGCCAGACCACGCAGTGTGGATTGCATCCTGGACACAGTGGGGAGCCCCTGAAGGCCTTCAGGGAGAGAGTGAAATGGAAAGGTCTTGGCTCAAACATCCCTGAGGAATGGCACGAGGGTAAGGCTCTGCCTTCCCATGACAGTTGATAAGCGGTGACTTGCAGCTTGATAAGATGTTCTTGTCCCCCTAGGGTACCAGTCTCGTGATTTGGGAGGTGACTGAGGCTCTGTGCTTGGTGAGCCAAGGTCAGTCCTTGTCAGGCCAGCTGAGAGTGATGATGAGCCAGGGGATTCCCCAGGCCAATGTCTTCCCTCTTTTCTGACCTCCTTGGTCAGGAGTTCATGAATGAAACACCTGTGTGCAGATGTGCCAAATGCAGAGGCTTACACACACTCAGGCCAGAAGTGGAGGAGGCTGTTGGGGCTGAGACATAGATAGACCCCCAGCCACCTCTCTCTATCTGCTCCTCACTAAGAAAACAGCAGAGACAAACATTCGAGTTTGCTTGATGGAGGAATTCCTAGAAGGAAGTTTCTACCCTTGCATAGTGAAGTAAATGCTGTTTTATAGGTATTTAGTGGAAATCAAAGAATATGAAGTGTTGGGAGCCATTACCAATAATGATCCACCCATGAACACGGAAGCCAGAGCATATCTGGACTATCATGTAAGTCAGGAGGAAGATACAATTCAGTTGACAAAAATTTTGTGTGGTTCCTCCGAAGTGCACTGTTGTGCAAGAAATGGTTTGGCAGTGATTCTCCTGTTTCAGTTGCAAGCCATTGAGGACAGATGCCTCTCAAGTTGCCAGGGGAGGAGGGGCAGGTGAAACGGATGTTCCTGCTCTGGCAGGATCTTCCATGGAGTGTTCCCGGAGTTGGACTGCCAGGGGGCAGGTGCAGGAAGTCCTGTCACCTGAACACTTCCAGATGCAAGATGAGTGTGGTTGGTGCCTGGAATCCTTTGCCTGTGGTAAAGTGTGAACCTCTTCCCTGAGGGCAGCAGCATGTCACAACGATGTCATAACCACCCTGGCTGCTCACAGCTGCTTTGTAGCAATATGCCAAGATGTAGTTTTGACTGTTTGTTTTACTGTTTCCTTTGAAATTTACAAAATTTTGTCATAATATGTATTGGGCTTTTTTTTTAATTATAAAATAAAACATATAGTCATAAAAGTCCAAACAATTGAACAGACAATTTAACAAATGATTAAAGCTGGGCACTGTGGCTCATGCCTGCAATCCCAGCAACTTGGGAGGATCACAAGTTCAAGGCCAGTCTCAGCAACTGAGACCCTGTCTCAACATAAAAAATCAGGGGATGTAGTTTAGTGGTACTGGATTCAATCCCCAGTACCAAAAAAAAAAAAAAAAAAAAGTGGGGGGAGGGAGAAAAGAAGAACAAACAATTGTAAAGTAGATGCTATTTTTATAAAAAGTATTTTAAATGATCCATAAATGATACACAAACCTTTGCCTGGGTAATGTCCACTGAAATTGAACAATTTTAAATACAGTTAAAAAATTAAAATGGTACAAAAAGATCTAAAAAAGACAAATAAGTGCCTCCTCCTTCCATTTTTTCCCACAGATGACTTCTTGTACATCTTTCTATACCTTTTCTCTCTACAGCAGTAATGTTTCTAAAATAAGAATGTGCTCATTCAGGCTTTGTCCATATTTATTGAGATATATATATATATATATATATATATTTTTTTTTTTCATGGTACCAAGGATTGAACCCAAGGATTTGTACATGCCAGTCAAGTTCTCTACCACTGAGCAACATCACCAGACCTTTTTTTTAAGTTGAAATAGTGTCTTACTAAATTGCCAGACTGGCCTCTAACCTCTGATCCTCCTGCCTCAGCTTCCTGGGTAACTGGGATTATAGGTGTGGGCTACCACACCCAGCTTACCGAAAATTTTAGAAGAGTATGTCATCCTGACTCTCTTATAATATAAAATTAGTATGTGTCAAAGATGAGATTTAAGTTATTAGTTCATGAGGGAACTACTAAAATACTGCAATCGATTTAAAGGAGAACTCAAATGATCACACGTGATTGTCAGATAAGGAATGCTGAAATGATTTTAGAAATGACCCAGCTGGGGAGGCTGAGTCAGGAAGATCACAAGTTCAAAGCCAACCTCAGCAACATTGGGAGGCCCTAAGCAACTCAGAAAGACCCTCTCTCTAAATAAAATATATAAAGGGAGGCCAAGGATGTGGCTCAATGCCCCTGGGTTCAATCCCCAGGACCACCCCCAACAACAACAACAAAAAAACTTAATACAGAACTGGTCAGGTCATAAGGATAGTCAGTTGCATTCCACCAGACACAGTTTCACAATTTGCCTTTTTTTTTTTTTTTTTCCCATAGTGCTGGGAATGGAACCCCTGGCCTAGTGCATGCCTAGACAAGTGCTCTACCACTGAGCTACATCCCCACCCCAAGTTTTTTACAGTTTAATTTTTATCTTTGGAGAGTCAAGAAATAGTCTAGTTAAAGACAACAAAAGGCAGAGAGAACCTGTGTAGGTAAGTTATTCAGACACCCACTACATTTCAACATCTTTCACAGTTTTTCCCTATACTTGTAATTGGATCCTTACCCACAAGTGCCTCCTAGGATTTTTCCCTCTGCACAATCCCTGCTGTTTTGTTTGTACCAGCTGACCTGGCCCCTCCTCCCCTGTTTTGGTGATGAGCCAGGCCTGAAAGCCTAACCCAGGAGAAACAACTCATCACATAGGCGGAACCAAACCACATGCAGGTTCCTCTGCTTTGCCATTCTGCCTGCTTTCATGGCAGTGGGCCCTGAAGTTGTGAGTCAGGCTGACTCAGGGCTGGTGGTCATGATGGGCCTTGTAAAAGATGGTGAAGGCTTTTGTGAAAAGAGGAATAGATTAGGAATGCAAAGAGAAAAGACTGTGGTCCAGTAAAAAAGACAAAATGCCTGACCAATGAGCCATCAATACCTGGGATAATTTCCTGCATTTAGAGTCCAGTCAGCTGGGGTGGATGTCAGTTGCAATAATTGCCTACTAAGGAAAATAGCTGACAGACAAGATGACCTAAGGATCTGGGGTACATGTCTCAACCCTCCCCAGTCATGGGCAGTTTCCTGTAGAGTCCAGCTCACCATCCAGGGTCTGTGTTAGCACCATGGGGCCTTATGTCACCCGAGAGGGCAGGAGGGACCGTGGTCTATGGTAGAGCAGAAATAACCAGAGACCTGACTTGTACTGCACCCTTGGACAACCATTCTTCTTGGACAGGTTTTCTTACCTAAATATGGGGGACAAAAAGAGAGAAATGGAAAATGGGGAGTCATTGGTACTTCCTGGCTTTTGTCCTGGGGTCCTGGTGGAGGGGTGGGGGCAGCAGTCCAGCAAGAGCCATGGATGTGAATCTCCTGCCCAAGTCAGCCAGAAGGTAGCTCACAGCTCTGGCAGGGCAAGCAGCTTGGCCCTCCATGCAAAGTGCTTTGGGAAAGGTTTTGTGCAAATAGCCAGTCATGATTAATTGATAGGGAGGCTCTCAGGTGGAGGATCAGATTACACACACACATACACACACACACACACACATAAAATTTGGCTCTCTTGAGAAGGAAATGTTCATTCAGCATAAGGCAAGACAAAATCAAGTTTTCTATCCCTTTAACAGGTACCTTCTCACCCTTTTCATTTGTTCAGTGAGCACTCATTGAGCACCTACTATATGACAAACCTTGTTCCAAGCACTGAGGTACTGAGATAAGGGCTCTTGCCCTTATGGAGCTGAAAGCAGACAAAAAAGAGCTTAACCAAGGAGAGGTCTAAGCAGAGACATGGAAAAACAAAGGCTATTATAGGGCCTCATCCATGCTCCCCAAAGTGGGGTCCAGGGTAGATGAAGGGCAGATGCAGAGGAAAGTCCAGTGTTTCTGGAATGAGGGGCTGGTTCAAGGGGACAATGGGGCCAGTTAGTGGGTCTTGGAACTCAGAGGATAGTCTAAGCTTTATTAGCAAATTAGAAAGTTTAAGAATATGAGTAGAGTTGGACTAGTGGCGCATGCCTGTAATCCCAATGGCTCGGGAGATTGAGGCAGAAGGATCAAGAGCTCAAAGCCAGCCTCAGCAATGTAACAAGGCCCTAAGCAACTCAGTGAGATCCTGTCTTTAAATAAAAAAGGGCTAGGGATGTGGCTCAATGGTAAAGTGCTCCTGGATTCAATCCCTGGTACCAAAAGAAAAAAAAAAGGCTGAGGATGAAGCTCAGTGGTAGAGCCCCTTGGGTTTAGTTCTCAGTACAGCAAAAAACAGACAAGCAAATGTCTTAGCTAGAATTTAACCTGAGAAACAAGACAACAAAGAACTCCAGGCTCTTCCAGGTTTTCATTTGGGAAGGTGTTTTGGTCAGGGTGTCACCATAGGAGAAAGAAACCACAAGAGGAAGTTTGCTGAGTGATGATCCCTTCTGTTTGGAAGAGCTCAGACATTCAATTGCAAGTACCCAGCAGGCAGGTGGGGACACAGATCTGAAACCTGGGGAGACACTTATGCTAGGAGACTGCAGAGAGGCGGCTGGAGTATATGTACACATGAGCTTATTTATAAAAGTGCAGGGGGTGGGGAGCAGAGGGAAAGTGCAGGGGCATCATGCCTCCTGGCCCTAAAATTCTCCTTGCTGAGAGTGAGGATTAGAGGAAGGTGCTGAGCAACGAGGGCATGTTGGGGAACACTTGTTATGGGAAGTAGGAGAGAAGCCTAGCAACAGAGGGGCCTTGCTGCCTTCAAAGGACATGAGTCTGAATTGGCACAAATCGTTCCACCCAGGTTTGTCCCGGGGACATGGAAGCCAGGGAAGTTCCAGATTAGGCTCTGAAGAAAGTGAGGGTATGCTACAGAGAAGGTTAATCATTAACAACAACAACAACAACAAAAGTTCCCTATCTAAGATCTCAGCCAGATAAGGTGGCACATGCCTGTAATTCCAGCAACTCAAGAGACTGAGGCAGGAAGATCACAAGTTGGAGGTCAGCCTCAGCAATTTAGTGAGACCCTGCTCAAAATAAAATTTTTAAAAGGGCTAGAGATGTAGCTCAGTGGTAGAATGCTTGCCTAGCATGTGTGAGACCCTGGGTTCATTCCCCAGGACTGCAAAATAAAAAAAGAATTTAACAAAGAAGCACCCCTGTTTCCCATAGAATAGAGTTAAGCCTGGAAAGGGGCTTCCCAGCAGAGAGAGCATTCCCCACACATCTGTTACTTCTAAGAAGAGTCAAGGGACTAGTTCTTGCCAGTGGGCTGTTGACCAGGATAAAACGTATTGATATCGATTCTGGCCCAAGAGTCACAAAGGAGATGTGCCATCTCCACCTTTCCTTTTCCCATCTTCCTATTTGATGGCCTTTTTTTTTTTTAATGGATGGAATGTTTATGTCCCCCCTCCTCCAAATACTATATGTTGAGATCTCATCCCCCATGTGATAGTATTTGGAGGTGAGACCTTTGGGAGATAATTAGGTTCTGGGGGTGGAGGCTTCTTGATGAGATTAGTTTCCTTACAAGACAAAACCAGAGAACTAACTTGTTCTCGCCCCACCATGTGAGGATGCAGAAGTCAGAAGTCTGCAACCCAGACTCGGAGCCTCACGGGAGCCTGAGGGTGTTGGTGTTTTGATCTCAGATGTCTGGCCCCATTGTCACAAGAAATAAATTTCTGTCGTTGATAAGCCAATTTGTTGGAGCAGCCTGAACTAAGACAGCTTTGGAAACCGAGTTAGAAATGGCAGGGCCACGAGGAAGATCTGGAATCCCTAGAGAACAGACATCACTGATCAGGAACACTCATTTGGAAGTTTTGTAAACAAGAAATCAACTACATTGTCCGAGCCAAAATACAGTCTGGGATTTGTTTGTTATAACATCTCACATTACCTTGACTGATGTAGGATTAGAGACAATGGGTGGCTTTCCAGATGGTTCAAACAAGGCTGGGGAACAATGGAATCTTCTAAAGAGAGAAGATCTTTGTTAACATTCAAGAGCAGGAGTTGGGGGAGGACTAGAAAAATCTGGAAAGTGGATGGCAGGGCCTTTAGTGCAATGCAGGAGGGTAA